TATATATAAAAAAAATAAATCTCATCTTTAAATGCATAAATGCATGCATGTGGGAGTGTCCCATAATGATTAAGATATAGGGCAAAAAGAAGCCAGGCTTGTCATCTTAATTCTGACACCAACCAGGATGAATTTAGGCAAATTGTTTCACTTGTTACCAAAATTTTTTCATCTGTAAAATAATTATAACACTGATTCACAGGGAAGTTGGCATGTTTATGAAGAGCTTTGAAATCCTTGTGGAAAGTACTGTATATGCACATTGGCTAAGATAACATTTTTCTGTTTGTTCAGTGGTCTTGTAAGCCGGCTGCAGCTAATCAAAAAACTTATTTTTACTTTGCCTTTTTCACATACTCTTAGCTAAATCCAGGAAAAACAAAAATTATTTATCTGCAGGCTTTATCTAGTAAGTTTGTAGTTGGGATCGGTGTTCCGCATGGCAACTCCTGGTTTATAACTTCTATTGTAGCCGTCTCTTAAATATCCCTCTTGATGCAACATAGTGAATGCTACACCGTCTACTTCCTCCTCATAGTTAATGTGCCTCAGCTGCTTCTCAGGTCATACTTTTCACTGCTGTTCTTTCTCTGTTCACTATTTATTTTTACTGAGCCTGCAGCAGTATTCTGACACCACAAACTCTGCAGGTTTTTGTAATTCATTGTAGAAGATTGGGACCAGTTGGGTTTTAAGAGAAGAGTGGATCATAGCAGTGAATTTGCTTGTACAATTAAGGGCTCCAATTAATTGTTGGTCTAGGTTGCATTGGTAGCATTTATCCACCTGTGTCGTGTGACTGTATCATTCTGACTCCCCTTTAAAAAAAACAAAACAAAAAATGTGATCAGCTGGATTCACTCAAGTAGCATGGTGTGTGACTTGTTTCATGCCCCATAGGCCATGTGTTCATTGACAGTCCCCCCTCAAACCCCATTTTCCAGGGTTGAATGTCTTTGCCTTTTTTGTGACACTGAGTTCCTTGCCGGGCTCATGTTGAACAGATAAATGGAGCAGACTCTGGTAAAGTACAGTTGTCTTCTCTGAAAAAGAAACTTCAGCCGGTTACTACATAGTTTTATGAAACAACTTGTCCGTGCATCTTTAGCAGAGCCTCTTGTTCTGTGGACAGGCTTGGCTCAAAGGAAAGCTACAACCATGTTCTTGCCTAAAAGAGGGATTTCTTTGTACCCCGCAACAAGCCAAGCTCTTCCCAGAACAAAAGGCTTGCTAAGAATCTGCAGTCGGTTTGTTTTGGAGACCGTGTAGTAACCAGCTGCGGTTCTTTATTCAGCGAAGACAACGCTCTGCCTTGCTTTCCCAGAGTCTTAACTTTGCCTGCTCTAAGCATCGTTAACCAGACAGAGGGAGTCTTAATAGCCTGGTTAGGCCTCTCACCTGGCAGGGGACACCCGGCTCTTTTCTCTGCCCCAACAAATATTCATTTGTGCAAAGTGGAACAGTTTGAGCCAAGAGGATTTGAGACCCCTGCCTTAAAATACCTGGTTGCTGCCGGGGGTTTGAGACCCTTTCCTGAGAGGTAGGACACCTGGGCTCGGGTCTCTATTCCAAAACAGGCAGAGGGATTTGAAACCAGGTCTCTCGCCCTAAGCAAGTGGCCTAATCCCTGAGCTGTAGGTACAAGGAGTGACACAGTTGCTGTGGTCACTTTTCTTAATTTTGAGATCAGTTTACATTTTAGATATCAGTGCTACTTTTTTCTAACTGGTAGCCTTACATTCAGCTTGGATGCAAAGGTGAAGCTGTGTTCTGTTTCTTGCAACAACAGTATTGAGAATTAAGTCAGAATGTGCATATTGATGCTCAAGCTGGCACAGAAGCAACCCATGTTACCTATGGCAGCACTGCAAAGCAAACAGGAGTGCAGGTTCTCAGTAAAATAAGTAGATCACAAAGCCGTTCGAAAGGTACAGTTCTGGCTTGCTTGATCTCTGTCTGTGATGATGACTTTTCCTTACTCCTCTTTGTGCACTTCCGGTGGGAGATCCAGACAGTCTGTTTGAAAATGCAAAGACCCCTTAGTTTTGCCTCTTGGATTTGGAACATGTTGGTTTTTTTCAGGTGTTGGTACAATAGTCAAAGTGGAAATTGGAAGAAAAGACAGTGAGGATGGGTTGAGTTTTTTGGTGTTTTTTTTCTTTGTTGTTCAGTTGTGTTTGTTTTTTGGGAGGAGTCCCCCCCACTTTTATGCTATTTCTATATTACTGTATTATTTGAGGGTCTCGCTGACTTAACAGATGCTAAGGTTCAACTCCCATTTCACAGGTGGCAGAACTCAAGCATGGATGGGATTTGTTGCTGCAGCGTACTTTAAGAGTCCAGAAGACCTCGTCATAACCTCTAGAACCGTGCATTTTCTGCGGGTGGGAACAGTAGTGTAGCACAGTACTAGAATAGCCATACACAAGAGGCAGCGCTGTCTTTTATTAGGTAGGGTTGCTGTGCGTGGTTCCATTACTTTTGGGGATAACTGAGCAGAATTCCCTTGCAGACGGTATTCTGAAATGGAAGGTCATGTGAGCAGCCATCTCGTTTACAGGTACAGTCAGGGAAGAGCCAGTCACTAGGCACTCTGAAATGCTTCACAAAGCAATTAGAGCATGAAAGACCTTGGTTAAAGACAAATTCTAGTTCCATAACGTGAAACTCTTGCAATGAAGTGTGAATCCTTCAGATCACCTGGCCCCCTTGTAAGGACTTTTATATGTCTGCATCTGCCTCTGAAACCCTGGGACTCTCCTGCTCATAGCAAAACCTCTTATCTGAGTGGTGAGCACTTATGTTAAAGGAGCAGCTTCACTTCTGCACTTCAGACTGACGGGCACTTTCAGGCAAACAATCGAGGCATAAATAGGCCTGAAACCTAATCGTATTTTTGAGAGCCTTCCTGCATCAAATAAAGCTCATTCCTCTTTTCTTCCTTTTGTAATGTGTCAGAGGCTTAATTTATACATTAAAATCAAAATGACGTGTGTGTGTGCACGCATACCCCCAACCATATTTTATATCTATCTATCTATCTATCTATCTATCTATCTATCTATCTATCTATGTGAATAAAATGCATGTGTCTATGTGTATAATATATGTATGTATGTATACACCCCCCATATTTTATATCTGTCTATGTATGTGTACACACCTTCATATTTTATCTATACATGTCTGTGTATGTATGTACACACGCACTCCATATTTTATATTTGTATATATATGTGTGCCTGTGTCTATATATGTATACATACACACATGATTATATACATGCGTGATGTATTTATGTGCGTGTGCGCGCACACATGCACGCACACACACACACGTGTATATATAATGAGAGAGAATCCACATTGTAATTAGGGCCTTTGCACTGTAAAGTAGCATTACAGTGCAATGAGGACTTCTCTTCCCATTTGCTCTAAATATCCAGGGAGACTTAAGATCTTTAGGGAGCCAGGCTGTGTATGTGTGATGGAGTAACCTCAGCTCTGTTAAACCCCAGTTTATTAGCTGTTCCTATAAAAAGTTGTATGACACTGCAAATGTTACATTTGAAAATCTCCTTGTGTCAAAGGACTCTTGCAGGGGCTTTTTGGGGATGTAGGCTGGTGAATGGGAGAACTTTTTAATTTTTTTCCCCTTTGGGCTAATCTGGTGTTTTGCTGGGGCAGGTGATTAGGGACACAACTTCTGTTCCTACATCTGTGAGTGCCTTGTTTGAATTTGGGCTAGTCCTTTCACATCTTTCCTACTGTTTCCTATCTGTAGACTAGGGTTTATAATCCACACATGCAGCTTGTGAGTATTTTAAAGTCCTTTGGGGAAAGAGTGTCAAATGCAGAGTACTAGTGTGTTCTTGCTTGTGATACACCCCCTTTACATCGTTCTCCTTCCTCACGCTAGATGACTAAATCACTTTTTTTTTTTTTTTTTCCCCCTTGCCATAAAGAAATGCAGCTAAAGGGAGACCTAGGGGAATCCCTTTCAGCATCTTTCTTCTGTGGATGCCCTTTCCCTGCACATAGTTTTAGTGCCCTTTACTGGGTCATGCGATTGAGCAAAGCAGCCTCCAGAAAGGCTGCTGATCCATGGATAATAAGGCCAGAAGGGCCTATTGTACTCATCTGGCTCATGCTCTTGCATGACACGGGATCAAGTTTCATTTTTGTTCGAAGTCCAATTGTTTAGGGTTGAACTAAAGAAGATCTTGGAACAGGGTGGAGGGGGTGGAAACAATCGGACTTTTAATAGAAAACTGCCAGTGATGCAGAATCCACCGCGGCCGTTTGCCCAGTGGTCCTCAACCTTGACAGGCGCAAGGCCCCCCTTGGAAAATGGCAGCTCTTAGTTTTTGCTTGATTTTTGGCTACAGAAAAATGAGACCCATTTTTCTGTTGCAGAGAACTTGAGAAGATCACAACAGGCCAGAAAGAACTCCATAATGTTAAAAACAGTTTGAAAACCAGGTTTATCTTGTGCGTTATGTTGGCACAGCCAGCCTTGTACCCTACGACACACTGGAAAGGATCTCAAGGCACCCTGGGGTGCCACAGCACCTCGGTTAAGAATCAGTGCCGTAGCAAGTGGTATATTACTCCCTAAGTCAGTGCTTTACTTCTACTCTAATTTTTGTCTTACTTCGGCCTAATAGGATCTTGTCATTCCTTTGTCTCCCAGACTCAAAAGTTTTCTATCAGCAAATTCATTCCCTCCAGTCCTGAGTTCCTACAGCACCTATTTGGGGAACTTGCTGGCAGCCTAGTTCCCAGCTATTTATGTGATCCCTTTCATAACCCCACTGAGTTCTCCCTTAAAGGCTGTAGCGAGGCTTCTCGGCCCCTCTGCTCCTCTTGAAAGGCAGCTATCTAACTTCCAACCTATTTTTACCCATATCCAGTTCACACCCACTTTTTCTTGTGCCATCATTATCCTTTTAGCTTCAGCAGCTCTTCTCCCTCTATTTAACCTTCCTGATCAGTTCATGGGGAGCCATGTATCTGCAGTTGGCCTTTGTTTTCCTAGGTTAAACAAAGCCAAGCTCTTCAGGTCTCCACTGGGAAGGGAGGTGCTCCATTAGCTTAATCGCCCTAGTGACCCTCCTCTGCATCTGCTCTGGTTCCAGTTCATCTGTTAAATGTAGGTGACCAGAGTTGTACACACATTCCAGGGCAGTTTTTACCAGTGCTTTGTGCAGTAGTATTACTACTCTCCTGGAAATCTTTCTCCTGCTCCATCCTAGGATTGTATTTACCTTTCTCTTGGCTGCATCATTTCAGTCACTCGCACTCCTGCGATTGACTAACGCACAAAGTATTTATAGACCGTGATAGTCATCCATTAATCTTCTTCTGATAAGCTCAGTAGAGTGAGCTCCCTGTGCGCTCACTATAAAGGATGTTTTCCAGTCCTCTCATTATTCTCATGTCTCTTCTCTTAACTTTCCCCAATTTATTGACATCTTTCAACTGTATGCTCCAAAAGTATTGCAGTAGTGGCTGAGCTGGTGTCGAATAGAGATGTAACCGCACTACTCCTCGAGATTCTCCTGTTTATACATCTAAGAATTGCTTTAGCCCTTCTGATCATGGCTGTGTGCTGGAAGTCAGGAGGGATAAGCATCTGAACATGATCCCCACATCTCTGAGTCACCACTTCCAAGATTAGGTCCCCTGTCCTATAAGTGACCTGCATTTGTTTATCTGAGGTGCATCATTTTAGGTTTAGCTTTATTAATACACACACATTGTTGTCTCGTACCAGCCCACCAAGCAAGCCAGATTGCTGAATTGGTGTCCTGTTCTTCTTCTTGCTTAGCATCCTCTCAGTGTTTGGCAGTGGCAAACCTTGTCAGTAGTGATATGCATCACTTCCCCCTCCCTTCTAGGCAGGTTGGGGTGTTATGCAACACAAGGCCGAGAACCAGTTCCTTTGGGTCCTTCTCAAAGAGTGCCTGCTATGTGCTGTTTCCTTATTACGGTTTTATTTTGAGACCAATTGGCCACGTTCATCCATTTGAAGTGTACCATGTTGATTTCTGCATGGGTCCAGTTTCCTTTCAAATGCCCTGTGGTACCCAGGGAAATGCTCGACAAAAGGCCAAGTTTACACAGATTGCCCCTTATCAACCAAACTTTTGGACCCTTCTAAAATATCAGGCTAGTTTGATAAGAACTGTTTTCTGTAAGCCCATGTTGATTGGCATGGATTATATTACCACCCCCTAACTCTATTAATAAAGAGTCTTATCAGCCATTCTCTTACCTTCTCCCAAATGGCTGGTTGGTTGTTTGGCCTATAATTAGACAGGTCATCCCTTTTACCTTTTGAAATACTGCCGTGACCTACTTTTATTTCTTCATCTTCTGGAACTTTGCCCAGTCTTCCAAGGCTTTGCAAAATCAACGTTAATGATCCAGAGAGCTTCTTGGCTGACTTTTTTTTGAAGCTCCTGAATACAAGTTTTCTGGATCTGCTATTTTTAAGTGTCCAATTTACTTTGTTGCTGTTTAACATTCCCCTTCCTGATGAACGCACGTTGGCTCCCCCTCCCCAAATATGTTCGGCATTTTTAAAATGTTCTATGATTGATTTAATTCTTGATCCCACATTACAGTTTGGAAAACTAAGGCATGGGGAAGTGAAGTAAATAGTCCTAAACTGCACACTCAGGCAGTGTTGGAACCAGAATTAAAGCGCTTAATTCCTGTGCTAAGGTCACTGAACCCTTTTCTTGTAGTATGAGCTTTACGGTCTGTTGTGGTCTGCTGAAGTGTGTGTTCAGCAGAGCCAACATATTTTCTCCCCTATAGTGTACAAGCATCATGGTGCTACCACATTGTACCTAATCATGACTGCACCAGAAAATAAGGTTTCAGACACTGTTCCCTGGCTCAGTTCTACAAACCAAACAGCTGGCTTTGCTGAATTCTGCATTTTGTTTTTGAACAGAGATGTGATGGTGGCTAGTACATTTTGCCATTTAAGAACTCATTCTTCCTTTTCCCTTCATGGTTGAAACTTAAAATACTGGAGCATTTTACAAGTAAAAAGCAGACAGTGTCGTATTTAATGACTGTCTCATTTAGATATCATTTATTTAAATGATTAATCCTCCTCAGACGTGCACATGATTATCTGCAGTAGTAAAGATAAACCTTGTGGGGCATCTTTGAGGCTGGTTAGTTTCATCTGTAGTCTATTTTTTGCTCTCTTACATTTTCAATGTAGCCTCGCTTTTAGCTTTTCATAAAATGGGACTGCTGTGATAACTGGTTATAAAGGAAAACGGGGGTTTCCTTTATGGATACTTTGAAAGCGTATTAGGCAGAGAGTCAGGCATAGCTACCTAAAGCTTTTTGGGTAGACTCTCCCCTAGGCTGAAGCAGAATGGCTACACTGGGAACAACTTAAATCTTTACTTGCTTGCTGTAGGATGCTGTAATGGGGTCCATTTTTAACTAATTGTATGATTTCAAATCCAGCTGAGCAAAGATCTCTAGAATGGCTGATGCATGCCTCCAGTCACTTAGGCCTCCTGTATGTGTCGTTTCATGCAGTAGACATCATTAATGAGATCTGTTTTACATGACATGGGCTCCTCAGCTACTATAACCTGCTAACCTTAGACCTAGTTTCTTTTCCCCACATTATAATACCTCTGTGCCGCTTACTCACAATGCTGAAAGGCTTGAAGTAACATGACCCTGCCTAGGGGCAGTACTCTTCGTGTTAGAGCCTAGCATCTATCTGCTTTGACTAAAAAGTTCTGAAAGCGTAGGATGATTGTTGATCGTCCTTCTGAACTTAAAAGATTGAAAATGAGTAACAAATAGATGTTTGACAAAAGTGAACAAATGTTGGAATGCAGGCACCAGTTCATATGTGGTTATTTAATTCTGTAACGCACTGAACTCCCTCCTGTAACAGATGCATGTGGCTAAACTTTGTATGTTTTACCCTCAGCACCTGGCAGCAGTGGAAGAGAGAAAGATCAAATCTTTGGTAGCTCTCCTGGTGGAAACACAAATGAAGAAACTGGAGATCAAGCTTCGTCATTTTGAGGAGCTGGAAACGATCATGGACAGAGAGAAAGAAGCTGTAAGTGCAGATGTTGTCTCCCTTATCCTAGAGCAGAACCATTGGCTGAAGAGATCTGTGTTGTAAGGACAGTTGGGTCATTAACAGATCCCTTCAGATCTGCACCCTTTGTTAGTTCACCTAGCACTGATCATTAGTTAGTTACTGCTCATTTCACCAGTCACATCAAGTTGGGTGGTATTGCAGATAACTTGAAGGGCAGGGCTAGAAAGCAGAATGACCTGGATGATGGCAGATGTTTTTCCAGTCTAATCAGATGAGCTTCAACAAGGACAAGTGCAAAGCCCTACACTTGGGATGGAATAATTGCATGAACAAATACATACGGGGGAATGACTGACTAAGCTACAGGACTGCAGAGAAGGACCTGGGGGTTACAGTGACCATAGGCTGATTATGAGCTAACAGTGTGCTGTGGTTGCAAAATAAAAAAAAAAAACCAACAGCATCATAGGCTGTATTTCCAGGAGGGTCACGTGTAAATCAAGGGAAGTGATTTCTTCTGCCCAAAGTTGTATTTTTATACTTTTAACCTGGTTGGTCTTTAGTCTTTGTCTGTTCCTGTTCCTGGAAAAAGTTGCCTCCACAGTTCCCAGGAGCATGTGTCTCCTACTCAGCACTTTCTGTGTGTTTGCTCAACCTTGAGTGCCCTCCCAGTGCAGGTGCTGTCCTCTGGAGATAGTCAGGTGCCTTAACCTGTAGAGCTCCCTGGGCAGATTACATATCTCTGAGCTGGAGGGTGAAAGTGCAGCTCTAAGAGGAAGTAAAGCCAAAGGAGGCTACAGCAAGAATTGGGATGTGATGGGGAAGCAGTTGATTAAAGGGGACAGAAGAAGAAAGAGCAATGGGATAAGAGAGAGGGGCCAAGAAGACAAATGTGTGGGGAGGAGGTCAGTGGAGGGGAGGGAGAGTTTGTTTGAGTAAAAGACCCCGTGCTTTTGTTTTGGTCTTGGGAAGGGCCTTGGGTTCTTCCCAGCACAAATGCAGTGATCCTAAAACAAGCGAACGGCAAGGGCATCAGCCATTCTTGGTTACTTCAGTCGCTCTGTTTCACTGTCAGCGACTACTTTGCTGTGCCCTGATACACGTTCAAAATCGGGAATACCACAGAGGAGGTGCAGTCTGCGCAGATTTGTCACTGGTGGCTGTGGTGTTTGCTGAGCCAAGCTTTGGTTCATTTGTTGGCTGTTTTTCCAGATGAGATCTTGTGTCATCCTAACTACTGCAATGAGCCCAAAATAAAATGTTTCATCAGGGACTCGTTGCCTTTTCCATACCCCCGTGGATTAGTTTGCTGTTTGTCTTGTGCAGAGGATGGTGGTGCATGTAGGCGAGATGAGATGCTGACATGTAATTCTGGGTTTTTCCTACTCATCCTAATAGAGTTAATGGAATTTACATCCTCGTCCTGGCATTAATCAGACTGATGGGGTTTGACAAACTGGTCTCTTATCACAACTGAATGTCAACAAGGGTTTCTTCTTTGCTTGGCTTCCTCTGCTGTTCCAGTGTGGCATCTGCCTCTGACACTGATTGGCAGCTCAAGAAATGGCCGTAACTAGGTTGAAAAGGTTCTCTATGAATCTCCTTATCTTTGGGGGATATAGTCTGTTACAATGACATCTCTTTCTCCATTCTGAGGCACATGACATTTCCCTTTTTAAAATGTATGTACAAACTTGCCCCCTGGCTTCTGGTGGCTAAAATGCAGCTTTATTCCCCTGACATCCTGGATATTTAGCAGAGTAATTAATTTAACAAAAGGAGAAGTTCAGGAGCGGTGTTGCGGGCTCTCTGCGCACGTCCTTCCAGCTGTATTCAAGTTGTCACAGCCCTGTGCTAAAGGTCACCTACTCGTTACTGCTGGAAGACATCCCCCACTTGGGGTTGGAAGGGACAGGGTTTTAGGCACTGCACATTGTGTTTAATTTGTAATCTGAAGCAATTTCAGCACCGTTAGCTCAGATGGCGTGTCTGGAGGCTCTACAGATAGGAGCCTTGTTGACCCAGACTTTGGGGTAACACATGAATGAATGCGTTCTTTAGTGCGGAGGGAGGGGGGAAAGCAGAGGGGTGGGCTGGTGACGGCTGTTGTAGCAGTAAAGAATACATCCACGCAGCAGTTGCTTTTTGCAATATCCCTGTGGATTAGATCGCTTCTCTTTTTGAAAACGTTTTACACCTCGCTCCAGTTGTAAATGTGGTGGAGAAGCTTCTGTCATTCCTGGCCTCAGCACTCTCTGTCTCTTCCCCATCAGTTTGTTTTTTGGGGGTTTTTTTTTTTTAGCAGCCAGGCATATTTTTAGGCATGTGTTGGCATTGTGGGAATACTCATAATGACATCCCATTGGATTGCCCTCTTTAGATGTACTGTAACGAGATGATGGCATGAAGATGGAGAGGCGGGGACGTGGTAGCACAAAAGCGTGCTGCAGTGGTACTTCCCTTTATTCACCCTTGCTCTTGGAGCACTTGCTGTAATTCTGCTGTGAACTGCCTACCACCTCTTGGCTCTGCTTTCACACAAGCACCATCACATCACTGGTGTATTTGTCCCTTCATCTGAGCAGATTCCTCCTGGTAACGTCAAATCGGTCAAGGACACAGAAATCATAGCAGGGTGAATAAACACGTCATGGTCATTACATGCTGAAAAACATTCCCCAACAAGAGCTATGCATTATTCATTAGTGTCCCCATCTGGTTCTGTTTGTGAATGCCTGCTCTGTAGCAGAAGGCTGTTCTCATACATGTGCTGGAGGTGAACGTCTGCTACATGGGTGGAGTTGGGGGGTCTTTGTGTGTTGTGAAAGGGTGCTCCCAAAGATTAAAGGCCTCTGAATGCAAGCAAAGTGTTAAACCCCAAAGCACGGCTTGTTGCTTAAAGCACTCCCCTTTGAGCCTTGAGAGAAGAGATGCAACTTTCTGTAACATGGGTTTTTAGCCTCCATGGGTTTTTTAACTTGATATAAGAAATCATAACCACCATCACTTTTTCTTTCCTTCCCTAGGAAGAGACGGCTTAGCCAGAATCCAGACAAAGGCCATTCATATCCACAGAGCATAATTCAACCACATGGAGTTTGCAGGGGAATTAGGAGAGGAATGTATTAGCTGCCTGTCTTCTAGGCTGATGTTGGTTTCTGACCTGCTTCCTAGTTAGCATAGAGAGGATGTCTGTTTAAATGAGGTTGCCAGCTGGCATAGTTCATACTCAACTCTCCACAAATCCAGTTTCTCCACATTTTCACTAGTTTCTTTCATGGCTTCCTGAACAGAAGGGGTTTGTATAGTTCTGGTGAAAAGTGTTGTTGTAAACCTCCACCAGACTAAAGGATGTATGTTTTGTACGTTAAATGTTGCTGATTTTAAACAACTCAAATATTTTTCAAGCGAGTTATGGCTTAATGTACCAGGCTCGCTGACCATGATGAAACAATCACCGGGGGACTTACAGTAAGAAACCATTTCTGCAGTTAACAGATTTATTCAGTGTCTTGGTTTTGGGTTACAAGGCTTGGCCTCTAAACTCCCATAGCGACCTGTTGGTAAAAGAAGTTGAAGGGAGAATCATCCTGCTCAGACTGCCCCGCGTACAAGCCAGACCCAGTGACGAGTGGGTTGTGGTGATGTGCAGCTCTTACTCTGGAAATTGGGGCCTGTAGTTTGTGTTGCGGGGGCAGAACTTGATCATGGAGGATTTCCACAGGGGATTCCTTGGGTTGTATGTGGTTAGGATGCGGTGACTTTCTTGAACATGGTGCAAGAAGGTGACTGGATGCTGGTGAAGGTTTGGAAATGAGTGCAGGTTGGCCACTCATACCGTTTATCTTGTAGACAACTGTAGCGGCATTGCCGAGGCCAAAAGCACCACAGTAAATTTTACCTACAGCAAGTAGCACCGGGCAGCACCCCTCATTAATAGCATGTGCTGTCGCTGACTGGGGAGCAGCACTGAGCTGAACAGATGTTCCCATCTGGTTATAAGACTTTCTGGAGGACGTGACTTTCCTATGCCTTCTCGTTTGTAACTTAGCTGTGTTCTCTCTTTTTTCCCTTGTTCCCCATCTCCCCTGGCTTGACTGTAGCTAGAACAGCAGAGGCAGCAACTGCTGACGGAGCGCCAGAACTTCCACATGGAGCAGCTGAAATACGCTGAATTACGGGCTCGCCAGCAAATGGAGCAGCAGCACAGTCAGAACGCCCAGCAGTCGCACCAGCACTCCAGCGGGCCAGGCATGAACCCACTCGGGGCGCCCACACATCCGGGCTTGCTGCCCCATCAGCAGCCCCCTCCGTACCCCATGATGCATCACCAGATGCCCCCTCCTCACCCACCACAGCCAGGTAAGAGATTAGTGTGACAGGTCTGTCTGCACCCTTTGTGATGGACTTCAGCTGGAAAGAAAAGAGGCAGTGCTGAGTTAAGTTGCACAGAGAGGTGCATGTGGATTCATGTAGCATGGTGCTTACAATATAACAGGTGCCTCTGACAAAGCGGGAAGGCAGTTTGAGTCCAGAGTGGTTCATGCGATTCCCCTACATAGCTTCATTTGGTCACTCTCCTCAACCTTGCCATAGCTGCAGCCTGCCTTTGTCGACAAGCCTAGAATCAGGCAATCAAAACATTTTTGTTTCTTTTTCTTGGGTTGCTGCTTGTTTATGTTAGGATATGCGAGTGAAACCTGGCATCTCCCCAGTATCCCTGTTACTCACTGGTTCAACGATGGTTCTTTCCAGCTCTTCTTATGGAAGGCCGCTTTTCATCATTGTCATCCCCGTACCAATCCGGAGACACTCCAGGGCAAAGCCAGCCCACGTCAACATGGGAATAGCAGCTCTGAACATTTTCCAGGTTCCAGGAAAAGTGCACCAAAAACGAATACATTATTCTACCCTTTTTTTCAGTGTAGCATCCCTCGCTCCTGCCACCAAAATGTTGGTGGGTGGGTTGTAAGTGCTGTAAATGCAAATGTATTGCTGGCCTAGATTATTCATAACGAATAGCCAACATTTTGCTACTATATAAAGATGGGGAGAGAGTCCCTGGCAGGGAGAGATCCTGCGGTCTGCATTAGACAGAACACAAAGAGAATGGGGAGAAAGAAGGGGAACTAGAAGCAGAGGGAAGAGGATGCTAAAATAAGCAGCTCGGATACGCAAGAGACCAAAGCAGAGTGAGAGGAAAGGAGTGGGTAGCACGAGTGCAAATTCCAGGGGCAGGGGATTTGGAAAGAGCAGAGGAGGGATACCTCATGCACGGGAAGAGAGTACTGTTTAGGGACAGGAAGCAGCAGAAGGAAACGCATGAAAGCTGGAGTGGGCATCAGAGCCAGCAGGAACAACGGGACAAGGCACGCAGAGTGCCAGCAGGGATGAGCAATGCGAGGCAGCAAGAGCTGTGCCTCTTGCTACTTTGCTTCCTTGCAGTGGGTTAAGGCAGGCTTCTACCAGTTGAATTTCCTGGAGGATGTTCTGGTTTGTAGGCAGCTACTGCTGAGGATTTGCAGGTTTTTTGTGAGGATTTGCTGAGGACTTTCTAGTCAGCCATTTAAACTCCAGTGCTTAAAAGAGCAGTTGGGAGACTCCATTGGTTCCCTCACCTTCTCTCAGATGCCCCAAAAAATCCATCTCCAAAACTAGAAAAAGGGTGGGATAAAAGAACACCCCTCAATAGAAGGAGCATTCAAATATTCTATGCAGCAACTGCTTCACATTATAAAGAAAATTTATTTTAAAAAAATTACGT